CGGCCCGACCTTGTCCACGGGCCGGGCTTGGGCCTAGATTTCAAGCCCGACGGGAGGGGGGGGGGGTTCTAGTTTTATACCGCTTGACTTCTTGAGACAAGCTGTAACCTGCAACGTTGAGGCCGCATCATTTTCCGATCATCATTCGTCATCCTCTTCGTGCTTCGTGAAAGGAAATGAGTTTGGTCATGTCAGAATTTCCTTGTTAAAAACCAGGAATTCAGAATGTATGCTGTAGAATTCTTGGCAAATCATTGGCCTGGTCTTCACGAATTGAAGATGGATGTTAGAAAGAACACAAACACGAGGAAAAAAACTCGATGAGAACAAGATTCATGTTCAAAATCTCCTTCGCATAACCAACAAAAGAATAGGAAAAGCCACTTGAATTCCTAGAGGAATCTTGAATTCCTAGAGGAATCTTGTCCGGGGGGTGGTCTAGAACTCCTACCGAGTCTTGTCTACAAGGGGCAGCCCAGACCTGGCCATGGGCCGCCCGACCTGACCCGGCCCGGCCCGACCTTGTCCACGGGCCGGGCTTGGGCCTAGATTTCAAGCCCGACGGGGCCTGTCATATCCATGCATTAACGAAGAGGCCCGGCTCAAGGCCCGGCAGGATTTTAGCATGATGGCTGGGCTCAGGCCTGATTTTTAGGCCCGACGGCCGGGTCGGGTCGGGCTCAGGCCAGGTTTTTTTGCATCGGGCTTTAGTAGGCCCGACCCGATAGATGGCCAGGTATAGGACAGACCTTTAACCCACTTTAGGGGATAATAAAAGTTGATATGGAGAAAATTTTAGGTGGCCCGATCTTCACCATTGGAGGTAGATTCATAGGTGAGCATGAAGACCAAGGGGAAACCAAGGGAAAAAGAACAAGAGGTAGTTCATCCCCAAATCCAAAGATATGGTGCTCTTGAGAGGTAGTTGACGGTGTTATGGCTCGAGGGTGCCTCGTCATACGAGAAGTTGGCTCGGACCCCCTAGGTCGGTTTTTGTCCTAAGTCGTCTATCGGCCCACGGGCCCATGAAGAGAAGGTTCTAGAAGACTTGGAGTATACGTTAAGGATACCGATGTCCACGAGGACTCCTCTGCTACCTTTACCGACTAGGACATGTAAACCTAGACCCCGGTACCCATTAAAGCCGGGGCTAGGCTAGTCAATAGAACACGAACCATAGAGATGATACTAAATCCCTCAATCATTATTGTGCACCCATGTATTCAATCAATAAACACGAGCTTGAAGTAGGGTCTAACCTCCACCGTGAATGCCTGAACCTGGGTAAACCCTCAATTTTTCCATCTGATCTACTCGTCTGGCCAGAGTACCCTATCGAGGGATCTGCCGGATAATACTCCAACAGTGGCGCGCTGGGCACATGTTGCGCTAGGAGAACCCAGATATCAGATGGGACCTACAATTCACACCAGCGTCTTTATGCCATGGTTGATGTTGGCGTTCGATACGATGACTTGCGATTCAACGGGACATCTCGAGCTCGTCGAAACCTTTGTTGTCGTTCAGATTGTCTACTTCAGCAATCTGGAGTTCATCACTGACTCACGCGGCGAGCTCGTCCTCGACGGCATGGTTTCTATTTAGGCCAAGGAGAGGCCAGAAACCTTCATCAACCGACCCACCTCCCACATCATGGCCAACGTCAATATGTTGCATGATGTCTTTGAGGAACCCGGTGATATCGAGGACCTCGACGATGAAATGGCTGATTCGACTGAAAGCTGCCCGGAAGCAATCCCACTATCATCACCACTCTACCTGCAGCACGCAAATCAACATATGAATGCTACATGGTGGACACAGATGCCTCACGAACAACCACCACCACCGAGGTTGAGACCAAATCCGAGGAGGAGAACGAGTTGATTACAACCATCGGCCAAGCACTCCCCAGACATCAAGACGGTGAACGTGATTTTCCACATGGGTGAATCCAGAGAGCATATAAGCTTGATGACAAAGTGGTCTATGCCATGAAGCGAGTAGTACCGTATTTCCTCGACTGGTCGGATCAACCAATCTCCTTCCACCAAAGCGATCATCTTTCCTAGACAGGCCGGATCAACCAATCTCCTTCCACCAAAGCGATCATCTGTGCATCATTCCCCATCCAGGAAACACTACAAAAAAAAGAAAATCCGTGATGATACGCGTTTGTCACAGTAGGTCATGTTCTCTGTCACCCATGTACATTCATGACGATTTTCTGACAAAATCAAGATAGTCATACCCTTGCTGCCGGGGATGTGTTCCATGACAATAATCAATTTATCATCACAGAAGTGTCCACTTTCATGATGGTAAATGGTGCGTCATGGAAATGTTTCATCCACTAAAAAATTTGCTCTATTCAGTGACAAAAACCCTGGTGATGAAACATGAACGGTAGCCTAAAATCATCTTCTGTGACTGTAGCGCCCAAGATGAGATTCTATCCCAATCACGTGATGAATTCATGATTGGGGCACAACCGCATTTCGAGCGCATAGCAAAGTGGATATCATTACAACATATCATGTATTGAATAGATGAGAATATCAGATAAAGGCTTACACTCGCCACTAAAACATGAATACATGAATACATCAATACATAGCAATCATCATACAGAAGAGCAGGATCCAACTACGAATGAAATCAAACGAAAAGAAGAACGACATCCACCTTGCTAATCCCAGGCTCCCGACCCGGAACCTATCCTATGACCAACGAAGAGGAAGAAGCAGAAAAAGAACTCCAAAAGCAAACATGCATCGCTCTCACGTCAAAGCATCGCCTTACCTATACCTGCAACTGTTGTTGTAGTAATGTGTGAGCCACGAGGATTCAGCAATCCCATTACCATGGGTATCAAGACTAGAAAAGCTTAATGGGTATAGAATGGATAAGTGGTGAGGTTGCAGCAAGCACTAAGCATTGTATGGTGGCTAACTTACGAGTACAGGAGTAAACTACGCATAACGGTCGCAAACTAATAATGATCAACAAGTGATCCTGAACTACTTACGAATCAAACATAACCCACTGTGTTCTCTTCCCGAACTCTCTTGAAAAGAGACGCTCACGGTCACGCACACGATTGGTGTATTTTATTTGAAATTTAGTGTCAAGTTCTCTGCAAACCGAATAGTATAAATTGCCAAGTCGCCACATAACCGCGCGGGCATGGCTTCTGAAAAGATTTAACCCTGCAGGGGTGCTCCAAGTGGTCCTCACACCATGATAACACGATGCTTACGATAAGGAATCCCGGTGAATAAGCCACTCGTCAAAGGTAAAACAATCCCATAGAGACCTCTCAGTGAGCCAGATCCATGTCCAGAGCCGCGTGCTCTCTATCTACGGGCTCATCCATCGATGCGAAGTGGACGATAGCCTGTACCATCGAGTTGCCCCGAGGCGGCATTGCCGACTGCTAGGTAGATGGACCAACACTCATGAGGAGCACTGACCCGTTTTGTTGATTAATTATCCACGGGGGCCGGCAGGTAAAACCAAGGTTGGGCTTCTCCGGTAAATCTTTACACTAAAACGAATGAACAAGGGGTCGCCATATACCCACACATGTTAGGAGCGCTTGTCATGGAACATAACAACGGTATGACAGAAACTAAGGCGGCATGAGTGGAACAAAACACTAGGAAAAAGGCCAAGCCTTCCACCCATTACCATGTATATAGATGCATTAATTAAATAAGAGATATTGTGATATCCCATGATATCTATGTCCCAACATGGAACAACCTGAAACTGCACCTGCAACTAGCAACACTATAAAAGGGGCTGAGCAAAGCGATAACATAGCCAAACAACAATTTGCTGGGATGGTGGAGGGTTAGAGGCTGTATCATGGCAAATTGGGAGGCTTGACAAACAAGTGGTAGGAAGCGTGACATAGCGATAACATCGAGATCCCGATAGCAAAGATAGTAGTGATATCCAAGGTAATGATCATCTTGCCTGAAATCCCGCTAGGAAGAAGACCGAATCCATGAAGTACAAACTGACGTAGTCGAATGAATCATCACACTCGCAACGTTACCGAGAGCTATCGAGAAAAATCACAACCGGAAAGAAGCAAACAACATGGTAAACAAAGAAGCATAATCATAGCATGATGCACAATCGAGTATGATGCATGTCCGGTTTGATGAGTCATGGCATGGCAAAGTGCACAAACAATACTACAAGTTAAGTGGAGCTCAATATGCAACGAGTTGCATATTGACAAAACACCACATTCAAGTATTTAGTTCACTGTCGTTTAAGCTACTCATCAAGATTAAATGTTGGTTAACATGCCAAGAGGAGAAGCATAATTAAACTACATATCTAAGCAAGTTTAAATGAGGCCGGAAACAACAAACATGAATTCCGAAAAATCCCCATACGCAATTTTTGAATTTTGGTACTGTTCTGCCTAAAAGATAATTTTTAAGTTCTTAAACAGCAAAAATAAAGTGCATCATGTTAATCTAATACATTTTCTACACCATTTACTGAAGGAAATATGCCCTAGAGGCAATAATAAAGTTGTTATTTTATATTTCCTCATATCATGATAAATGTTTACTATTCATGCTAGAATTATATTAACCGGAAACTTGATACATGTGTGGATACATAGACAAAACACCGTGTCCCTAGTAAGCCTCTACTAGACTAGCTCGTTAATCAAAGATGGTTAAGTTTCCTAACCATAAACATGTGTTGTCATTTGATGAACAGGATCACATCATTAGGGGAATGATGTGGACAAGACCCATCCATTAGCATACCATATTGATCGTTCAGTTTTATTGCTATTGCTTTCCTCATGTCAAATACATATTCCTTCGACACTGAGATTATGCAACTCTCGGATACCAGAGAAACGCCTTGTGTGCTATCAAACGTCACAACGTAACTGGGTGATTATAAAGATGCTCTACAGGTATCTCCGAAGCTGTTTGTTGGGTTGTCATAGATCGAGATTAGGATTTGTCACTCCGAGTATCAAAGAGGTATCACTGCGCCCTCTCGATAATGACATCATAAGAAGCCCTGCAAGCAAAGTAACTAATGAGTTAGTTACATGATGATGTATTACGGAATGAGTAAAGATACTTGACGGTAATGAGATTGAACTAGGTATGTGGATACCGACGATCGAATCTTGAGCAAGTAACATACCGATGGACAAAGGGAATAACGTATGTTGTCATTACGGTTCGACCG